CACTCAATGGGGGGGGGGGCCCTAACTTCTGAGGGATGTTTTTTAACGCGTCCCCCCTTGAACGCGTCCCCCAACGGGGCCCCCCCACATGGAAGTTGCGTCCCCGACGGGGGGCTGCCACGTGGGTGCGTCCCCGACTGGGGGCTGCCACGTGGGTGCGTCCCCGACTGGGGGCTGCCACGTGGGTGCGTCCCCGGGACGGTGGAGGGCTGCCACGTGGGTGCGTCCCCGACTGGGGGCTGCCACGTGGGTGCGTCCCCGACTGGGGGCTGCCACGTGGGTGCGTCCCCGACTGGGGGCTGCCACGTGGTGGTGCGTCCCACGGGACTGGGGGCTGCCACGTGGGTGCGTCCCCGACTGGGGGCTGCCACGTGGGTGCGTCCCCGACTGGGGGCTTGCCACGTGGGTGCGTCCCCGACTGGGGGCTGCCACGTGGGTGCGTCCCCGACTGGGGGCTGCCACGTGGGTGCGTCCCCGACTGGGGGCTGCCACGTGGGTGCGTCCCCGACTGGGGGCTGCCACGTGGGTGCGTCCCCGACTGGGGGCTGCCACGTGGGTGCGTCCCCGACTGGGGGCTGCCACGTGGGTGCGTCCCCGACTGGGGGCTGCCACGTGGGTGCGTCCCCGACTGGGGGCTGCCACGGGGGGGGGTGCCGTCCCCGACTGGGGGCTGCCACGTGGGTGCGTCCCCGACTGGGGGCTGCCACGTGGGTGCGTCCCCGACTGGGGGCTGCCACGTGGGTGCGTCCCCGACTGGGGGCTGCCACGTGGGTGCGTCCCCGACTGGGGGCTGCCACGTGGGTGCGTCCCCGACTGGGGGCTGCCACGTGGGTGCGTCCCCGACTGGGGGCTGCCACGTGGGTGCGACCCCGACTGGGGGCTGCCACGTGGGTGCGACCCCGACTGGGGGCTGCCACGTGGGTGCGTCCCCGACGGGGGCTGCCACGTGGGTGCGTCCCCGACGGGGGGCTGCCACGTGGGTGCGTCCCCGACGGGGGGCTGCCACGTGGGTGCGTCCCCGACGGGGGGCTGCCACGTGGGTGCGTCCCCGACGGGGGGCTGCCACGTGGGTGCGTCCCGACGGGGGGCTGCCACGTGGGTGCGTCCCCGACGGGGGGCTGCCACGTGGGTGCGTCCCCGACGGGGACCTGCCACGTGGGTGCGTCCCCGACGGGGACCTGCCACGTGGGTGCGTCCCCGACGGGGACCTGCCACGTGGGTGCGTCCCCGACGGGCCCCCCGTACTTCAGATACATGCCCCGAGGGGAGGGGGGCCTACTTGGGTGTTCTGTCAATTGCTCTTTTTGGGTAGTCCTTTTCTTGCAAGGAAGCCCTTAAAATGTCTCATTTCCTTGAAAGTCTCATTTACTGGCCCTTTGCTCTGGAAGGGCTTCCCTTGGGTAAGACATGCTGAGGTCCGTAGTTCGATCCCCGGTACGGGTGGAACCACTAGGACGTTTCCTTAAGGAATCATCTGTCCATGTTTACCTAGCAGTGAAATAGGTACCTGGGTGTTAAACTGGTGTGGGTCGTTTCTTGGGAACAAAATTTTGAACTAATTTGCTCGATACGTTATGTATAACAAGGGGGGGGGCTTTCTGTATAGTAATGTCATTGATGTCATCTAGGCTTGTATACATTGTACATGTAGAAATAGATTATAATCAACCATTCCTCGTGGGTGTTAAGCCTCCTGCCCCCCTGTCCTCCTTTTCCTAGGGTTTTCTTAAGCCATTCACTTACCTGTGGGGTCTTGCTACCCACATTGGGGGTCTTTTGGGTCTCCTGCTTTCACATGTTCTTTATAGGTCTGCTTTCATCTGGGGGTTCTTTTTGGGTCTGCTTCGTTCTGGGGGTTCTTTTTGGGTCTGCTCCCTTCTGGGAGTTCTTTTTTGGGTCTGCTCCCTTCTGGGAGTTCTTTTTTGGGTCTGCTCCCTTCTGGGGGTTCTTTTTCGGGTCTGCTCCCTTCTGGGGGTTCTTTTTCGGGTCTGCTCCCTTCTGGGGGTTCTTTTTTGGGTCTGCTCCCTTCTGGGGGTTCTTTTTTTGGGTCTGCTCCCTTCTGGGGGTTCTTTTTTGGGTCTGCTCCCTTCTGGGGGTTCTTTTTTGGGTCTGCTCCCTTCTGGGGGTTCTTTTTTGGGTCTGCTCCCTTCTGGGGGTTCTTTTTTGGGTCTGCTCCCTTCTGGGGGTTCTTTTTTGGGTCTGCTCCCTTCTGGGGGTTCTTTTTTGGGTCTGCTCCCTTCTGGGGGTTCTTTTTTGGGTCTGCTCCCTTCTGGGGGTTCTTTTTTGGGTCTGTTCCCTTCTGGGGGTTCTTTTTTGGGTCTGCTCCCTTCTGGGGGTTCTTTTTTGGGTCTGCTCCCTTCTGGGGGTTCTTTTTTTGGGTCTGCTCCCTTCTGGGGGTTCTATTTTTGGGTCTGCTCCCTTCTGGGGGTTCTTTTTTTGGGTCTGCTCCCTTCTGGGGGTTCTTTTTTTGGGTCTGCTCCCTTCTGGGGGTTCTTTTTTTTGGGTCTGCTCCCTTCTGGGGGTTCTTTTTTTTGGGTCTGCTCCCTTCTGGGGGTTCTTTTTTGGGTCTGCTCCCTTCTGGGTTTTTTTGGGGTCTGCTCCCTTCTGGGGGTTCTTTTTGGGGTCTGCTCCCTTCTGGGGGTTCTTTTTTGGGTCTGGTCCCTTCTGGTTTTTTTTTGGGGTCTGCTCCCTTCTGGGGGTTCTTTTTGGGGTCTGCTCCCTTCTGGGGGTTCTTTTTTGGGTCTGCTCCCTTCTGGGGGTTCTTTTTTGGGTCTGCTCCCTTCTGGGGGTTCTTTTTTGGGTCTGCTCCCTTCTGGGGGTTCTTTTTGGGTCTGCTTCCCTCGGGGGTCTGGGTTTGCTTCCGTCTGGGGGTCTGGATCTGCTTCTGTCCGGGGGTCTCTATGGGTCTCCTGCTTCCATCTGAGGGTCTCTATGGGTCTCCTGCTTCCATCTAGGGTATCTGGGTCTTCTGCTTCCACCTGGGCTCTTTTTTTTTTTGGGTCTGCTTCCACCTGGGGTCTATTTTGGGTCTTTCACTCCCTAGGGTTGTTCTCAAGCCATCTATCTGCCCACTTTCTTGTCTTCTAGGGCCACTTGCTCCCCTTTTGGCATCTTCTCAAGTCCTCCCTCTTCCCTCTGGAATACCTAGACTACTCCTTGTTGCCCCACTAACCTTCTGGGGAAGAGGTTTTCAAACTTTAAGCAAGAATACCTTTTTGTGGTCATAAACAAATTTCTGGAGCCTTGCCCAATAGAAAATGATTCGCAAATTAGCGAGGATGTTGGTGCTACATGTACTGTATCTTATTTATAAAATTAACTTTTATTATCAAGCAGTAGATCTATCCAAATATGATAGTTATAAAATGTTTAATACATACATGGATTAAGGCTAGTTCATTTTGTTCACTATTTATAACTAGTAAACAGAGCTTAAATCTAGAAATGCTGATAGCCGAACCTGATACATTACATGGAGCAGTGTTTGATCAGTTTTCTTCATCAGAAAGACAAGCTGCTGCTTTTCCTTGCTTTGAGTGTGTGGAAACAACTCTTGATTGCACATTCAAAGACAGTTTTTGTTCAGATTATTAACTCAGAGGGCTAGTAACCCAGGATAAGCCAATAGTCAGGATGTCATAAGCTTGTCTCGTTTCCATTCGGGTCCTTTTTAATTATCCTCCGAGGATGTCTGTCCTCAGTTGCTTAACACCCAAGTAGTACTTATAGGTGTGCAGGAACAGCAGAAATAGTGTTTGTCCTAGAAGCAAACCCTAGTCCATTTTAAGCTGCCTCAAGTGAACCACAAGTGCTTAGACAAGCTCTAAATTCTTTATTTCATCATTCCTTTTAAAATATTTTTAATGGATCTCAGATTCTCAATTCAGATTTTCTCCTACAGTGTCGTCAAATATATGTAGTACATACATGCATCTCTTATCCTAATTACGAAAGATTGCAGATGCCCAGCAAGCTTTCTCAGTCCTAGGACTGCAGAACCTAGTTTGATAGTTCCTGTTCTAGACCACCTTCATCTGATACCTTTCTAGAGTCTCTTGATCTAAAGCGGTACTTGTCCTTTCCTTGGATCAAACTTGATTGCCTCTCATTCCCCATACACTATGACCCCAAAGGGATTGGTGCTTTGTCCTTGATCATAATAAAATTATTTTATCAGCCCAGGTGGCCCATGATACCTTGAGGAAGGTAGTTATACATGCTCTTTCAACATTTTCTTGAGTGGTGGTACCACGTTCCACTTCTGATTAGTAGTGCTTTCATCTCTCGTTGCTGTGTTTTGTAAGATTCTTTATAGAAAAAATGAGTAAACTGCTGACTGAAAACCTACAGTGCCATTGTTATTTGGTTTCTTGGTGGCTAATACAGCAGCATTTGTTACAGGCATCATTCCAAGATCTAAACCTGGACCTCAAATTATGTAATTAAATGAAGTAACCGAATAAAATGGATGACTTGCTGCCCACCTATAAATAGTTCTAAATCAATCTTGGATCAGGCCTGTTGGTTGCTTTGATTAGCCAAGTAGTAGGTACTTGCTGCTTGTATGATGACATGGGTACCACATTTAGCTGATAGGGTGTCAATTTGGGAACAATTTGCCAATAATTAAGAAGGTATCATTAGAGGCATAGCTTTAAATTACTGTTTTTATCACTTTATCCTTTCTGGTAGTTAAGTCACCGTTTCAAAATAATTACATCCAGATCTTAATATTTCCTTTTATCCTTTTTGTTACATATCACTAAAAGCTTGAAAGTTTTAGTCACAGCTTGAATAGTTTGATGTGTGCTTGTAATTAGGACCTGCACATTAACATGTGCTAGGTTCATATAAAATGATTAGCAGTGCATTTGAAGCATCACTAGACTTATTTTAAAATGTGTAACTTTTGGTATTGACAATTTTTTTTTTATCTTGCTTTTGCTTAGATGTGTTTGTTTTAAAAGGAATAAAATATTAACAGATGTTATTTATTTCAGTGTGAGGGGAAGCTTGTGGTGCCAGTGCCCAAGAGTGGGCAGTTGTCCACCTATTTGAAATAGGTAAGTTTTTGCCCAATGTGTCATGCATTTCAGCAGTATCATTTGTGTTCTTAAATTTGTTTTGCACCATCCATGAATATAGAAAGCAATGTTACCAATGTCCCTCTACAAAATTCTCCAGACACTTGGGATTGCATTGCAGCCAAATGTAACTATGGGTTGAAGCCCAGTTCTTCCTAGAATTTTCTACTAAAAGCGTGACTTCTGCAGAAATGATGTAGCAATGTTTTCTCAGTGCTATATCCTGTTGTTGTATCCTTGTTCAGTTTTACATCTTTGTTTTATCCTCCATATTACTTTTGCATTTTAAATTGCATATCATTGATAAACTGTCTGTCCTGTCTTATAAAGGCTTAAAATCAGTTACCCTTACCATATGCACCCATTTGTTTTACTTCTCTTGGTCTTGCTATCCCCACTGTTCATATTGGCCCCTTCCTCTGCCATCTCATATCTACTATAGTATTTCATATTTCTTTGTCATGCTTTTATTAATTTTATGTAGGCCTAAATTTATCACTCAAAGCTTATGAGTGAGCTGAGCTCATGACTTGAAACTATGCAAGGGACCCTGGCCGTGATTTAGCCTTGTGATGGCCACTGAGAAGGTTAAGAGGTTCCCCTTGATGCTAGTGATGAATTCCTGATCCTTGGAATTGGAGCTACCCTACCCTTTAATAAAATTGATTGCCCTCCCCCCCATTCCTTACACTGTATGACTTTGGGGTTTAGATCATTCCATGAATGATATTGAACAGGAACTTTAATGTACTTATCACCAGCCCCCCTTTTTCTGCTTCTAAAATCTCTGACCTAGGTCCTCTTTATTTTTTTTTACCATTTTTTCTTCAGAAAGGCATGTTTTTAATGCTGTATTCTATTCCTGAATCTTCTACATTCTTATCCCATTGTAATTGAATGCATCTACACTAAATAATGCTATCCTGCTACCTATAAACTTTCTTGCCACTACAGAAGGGCCAGTGGTGAGAGCCATAAATCGGTGCAGTGTGTCCCAGGGAACATCAGGGTCAACTTTGTTGGCTGTTTGGCACATCTGAAACTGAAGAATGAGATGAGGCTTTTATAAGGACAAAAGTCTGAAAATAGGCTTTAAAAATAATGGCTTTAACAATGATTTGGAATTTAAATGAATGACTACAAATGGTTAAAAATAATTGTCCTCTTAACCAGTGTCAAGGGAAGGACTGATCCCATGACCCTACAAGGTGTGGGTTGATCAGTGTTCTCCATAGCATTAGGGTAACCTTCTTGAGTGTTTTTTCTCCAGTGTTTTAGAAAACCTCTTATCTACTTCCATTGTGTATTAAAATGGAGCAATACCACTTCTGTTAATATACATTCATTCTAGTTCTGTAAAAATAGTGTATCACTGTATATGCATTTTTTTACCAGAAATATTTCAAAATGGTGTGTTAAAATAAAAATCTTTAATAGTAGTACTTAGTAATCACTTAATCTGTGGTTACTATCATTGAATTATATTACAATGGTCTTTGAAAATGATTTTTGAAGATTAAATTGTTTTCAAACATTCCAGATCCAAATAAATATGAACAATCTTTCAGCTCTCACATTTTTTCCTACTTTTTGCAGCTGTTTCTTTAACCCTTTCAGCATCAGTCCCTTAGTACTACACCAAAATTCTAGTGCCTTCAAATCTGGTGGAAGAAAGCTGGTAGGCCTACATATGAAAGAATGGGTCTGCGTGGTTAGTGTGCGCAGTATAAAAACAATCCTGCAGCATGCAGTGCATAATGAGAAAAAAAAACTGCATTTTTGGTTTAAAACGGTGACTTTGCAGTGTACTGTATTTTCGTATTGTATTTTCATATGGTTGTATTCTCGTTTTCTTGGTCTCATTTGATAGAATGGAAGATATATTACAGAAATGGAGATGATTTTGATTGGATTCAGTGAAAAGTACCTTGAAATTGAGCTCAAATTAGCAGAAATGTTCGATTTTTGCCGATGTTCTAGTAAACAATTGATGTAGCTGTCCAGTATGTGTCCAACTGGCTAGTCTAATATGCAGTCATGAGAGGGTTGACATTATATAAAAGTATTATAATAATGCAGTAGTCTGCATAACGGTAAATCTTCTATTTTTTTGTGAGAATAAAAATTCAAAATGGAAAGCAAGAGTAAGAGGGGCCTGGAGACATGACTAATGAACAGAGAAAATGTCATTTTAGTGCCAGGAATGTCTGCCTTGTTCATTCTGCACCCTATTTTGAATTTGGCATCTTTTGAAATTTGTGTGAAATTGGCCAAATTGCCAATTTCTGACCACTTTGAGTAGTTGAAATCGGTAAATGCGTGGTTTCTTGTACTCAATCGATAGAACAAATGGAGTTCTAGTGAAATAATTATGGTTTTAGTTGACTGAACCAATGGAATTGGCTGAAAATGGGGTTCAAATTGGGCGAAATCAGATGCGCAAATATCGCCAAGTGTGCTAACTTCACAAGCGTAATTTCGTAAGTTTTTCATCAAATTTCATACTTTTGGTGTCATTACCATCAGGAAAAGATTGTCATTTCATAAGATTGTTTTTTATTATTATTTTTTGACAGTTAAGGGTCTGGGTCTCAACACTGAAAGGATTAAATCTATTGATGTTGATCACTATTCATTGTGCAGTATATTTTGTCCTTGGCTAAGGGTAGTGTGCTATATTCAAGCATTTTGAAAGGTTTAAACAGGTTTAATTTATTGTTTATTTGTAAACATTCTGTACTGTATTTTATAATTCTACATACAATTTGTATACCAAGTTAATTATACACTAATCTGGATTAAACTTCTGAGGCATTCCAGGGCAAGACAGTTAGTGTCTAACCGTGTTCAAATTTGGTATTCAGGGTTATCCTCAAATCTGAAGCCACATCTGTAAATCTTAGCTCAATCATGAGTTAGTCTAGGTCATTTTGAGGTCACAGGTCAGTAAGCTTGTTTTTGGAACATATAATAATTATTAAAATGTCTGATAAACTGTGTATTCATATTTGGAATCAGCAGAGTAAAAGGATGCTTTTAGTGTAAGTTTAATTTCTCAAGTTGAAAAATTTAATGTTTGACCTCTTGATCTAGTTTTGAGGCCACTGTGACTAAAACTAATGACTGTATCTACAAAAAACTTCAGTAATTTAATGCATATGCATGCAAGTTCCTCCCATATGTTAACATAAAGCTAATATGTGCATATTTAAGTTTTGGTGACCTTAATGCAACAAAAGCATGTAAAAACGTTTTTTTTCTGCAGTTTCTTGTAGCAAATACATTGACCTTTGTTTAGTTAAATAATTTTTTACCATCAAACCCCAGAGGTTGTATGGTGTCTTAAGACAGTTGAGAGGTAAAACGTTAGATTTTTGACCTAAAGAAATATAACTTGGTCTTTAATTGTATCACATTAAGCATTCCAGTAATTTAACTACAGTAATATGTAACAGGCTTATGTTCTAGTTTTGATCTGCCCATAATGCTCTGCATAACCAGGGACACTTGAAGATGTACTGTTTGAAATAAAAGTTCCCTGATTTTGTATATGACAGCTGAGTACATTTTGAAAATGAAAATTTACTTGTACAGAAGGGCCTTGTTGGTATGGTTCTAAGGTTCACGACTCCCAAGTGATAAGCGAAAATTGCGTCCAAAATGCTTGATAATGTGTTTACACTCGCATATTAAGTGCTCAGTACAGCTAGGCATAAAAAAAAAAATACTATATAATAAATACACAGTACATATAATACTTAAGATATGGTGTCAGTTGTCCTTCCCTTGTGCAACTTTTGTACAAAAACAGCAATAATAGTAGTGATAAGAGCACCAAACATAATGAACAGTGGCTAAGTTGAAAACCAGCAGAAACGTGGAACACAGAAAAGAGGGAGCTGTATATGCAGGGTGCTCCTGTATTCTAATGCCATGTATATAATTATTACTCAAGTTCCATAACTTGATCTACAGGTAAGCCTTATCTGAGATTTGCAGATGGGAGTTCAGAATATAGGATAACCCTGAATATCAAATTTTAAGAGACTTGGAATTGGTTAAATTTTCAACTCTTAGAAATCTTGGTTCTTCTGTGATGCATGCTACTATACTGTTAACCTTTCAGAGGTATGACAGTATATATATGATGTACCTCACAGCTTGTCCTGGAATTTCCCTTCTAGGAGACAAGGCACACAGTTGCCCCAAACAAGAGATTGGAGAAATGCTATGTACTCAGATTATTTCTTAATCTAGTATATACGTTACCAAGCATTACTTACCTGTTTGTATACACTTGTGTGTGGTTGTGGGGGTTGATTAGCAGATTCTGGCCCCTGCTTCTTAACTTTCCGCTATCTAGATTCATTTCCTTGTAGCCTTGAGTGTAATGACTAAGTTACTACCCACCCCCTCTTTTTTTTTTTTTTTTTTTTTTTTTTTAAATCTTGACTCTTGGGTAAATTAGTATTTAGAAACTTGCAGTTTAATTGATAACTTAATATATTTATACCATGGTGGCATTTGGGTTACGCTGTAGGCTACCTGTAAAAAAAAAAATCTGGTTCTGATAACTAATATTATATTAGGCTCTCCCCCCCCCTCCAAAAAAGGGGGGGATTTTTCAAATGAACTTAACATACGGTAGGTGGCAAATTCTTACTTTCTTGCTAGGTTTTTTGTCTTCACTTTGTCTGGGTATACAAACTTGTGGGCATATTTGGTGGGATTACAATTTGGTTAAGAACTTCATTCACTCCCACATCACCTCAGCTGTCTAGACTGAAAAAAGTGGATAAGCTTTGGACCTTTATGTAATTTACGTATACTTTACCAAGAATTTTAAATCTCTAGCCATATGCTAGTAAAGCATAAAAATTCTTAATAAATTGTGAATCTGAAATTGCGGTGCTGGATCAAAAATGTATAAAAACCCTCCTAAAATATTTTTTTTATTTTTGCATGGCATTTGTCAAGAT